AAGAACAACACCAGAGAGGTGAGCTGGAGCTCCAAGAGATGTGTTGTCGAGACTGAAGAACTCTTCAGCCTCGATTCCAATATATACTCCTATTTAAGAAGCTTCTCAAGAAACTTCTATCAACTAGGAAGCTTCTAGAAGGTTCCAGAGACTTGCTTCAAGAAGGTTCTAGAAACTTGTCTCGAGAAGGTTCTAAGGACTATGTCCCTAACATCTTCTACCAACTAAGAAGCTTCTAGAAGGTTTTAGAGACTTGCTTCTAGAAGATTTTAGAAACTTGTCTCTAGAAGGTTCTAAGGACTATGTCCCTAATAGATAGATGATGTAAAATTAAATATATTAGGAGGCGGAATCACAATTTGATATAAACTATTTTTTATAGCAAAAGCTTTTTTAAGAAGTTTATGATTCTTTGCATGAACCAAAGCCTCTTTTATATTTAAAATGGTAGTCAAGAGGTGATAACCATTAATACACACATCTTGATAACTGATCAGATTCTAAGGTAATGAGGGTGCAAACATCGCATGTTTACATTTTATGATGAAATCCATAGGTAATTTTACTATCATTGTGCCCTCTTAGAAATAAAACGCATTTTTTCCAACCATGGTCATCATATTTTTAATTTGCCAAGTTGAAGATTTTTCAATAAAAAATTGTCTATCCCATAGGATAGTATGTGTTGTTGCATAATCAATGAGCGCATCATTTGATTCATTATTAGAAGTTTTGTCATTCATATAAGCCTTTAAGTCATTAACACTAATTGAATCCATCGACGCATCCATGGTATGAACTTCATGAGCCTCAACTCATAGTTTCTTATTTTCTTGGAACATTTTAATAAAATATTTTGAAATATGGCATACATGTGGTAAATGTCCAATCATTCCACACTTATGGCAAGAACACATCTCTAATTTTTATTTTTTACTATAATTAATAGTAGAACATTTATTTTTTTTCATATGAATAGAAATGGTCATGACTATGACTGCCCTTATGTTTATGAGCACGTTTTCCATGTTTATATAATTTTTTCTTAGACTTTGAAGTATTAAGTGCATGAGATTTTGGAATTGTGGTTCTAATAGGACAAGCTTTTGCATTGCACAAGAATAGCTCATATTTCTTCTTCGCAAGAAGTAGATAGGACATGAGATCAGAATGACTATGAAATTTCATGTTCTTGTATTGTTAAGCAAGCACAACAGATATAAGAAGAAATATAGAGAGAGTTTTTTCAATCATTTCTTCTTCAGAGATGCTTTCTCCACATAATTGTAATTGTGAGACAATATTATACATTTCATTATTGAAAGCATTTAAATTTGGAAAATCAAAGATATGTAAATGTGTTGAATTATGATGTGCACGTAGAAGGAAAATGGTCTTTTGATGATCAAACCTGGATTTAAGATTCTTCCAAAGTTCTGCAGGATCTTCTATTTCCAAATATTGATATTGTTATGCAGGTATAAAATGATGAGGAAGGAGAAGAAGTGCTTTCCAACGAATAGCACAGAGAAGAGAAATACTTATTGTAGAAGATTCTTCAAACATAATGGCATTTGAGAGTTGTTCTGTAAATAAATTTGTTTTTGCCATTTTTGCCCATAATAGATAATTGTTTCTATCAACAGTCAATGGTAGAAATAAAAGAGCTTGAAAATATTGGGATGCATTGATAATAGTTAGATCCATAGTAGAAGCATTTGAAAATGTTGAAGCACTCATTATAAATAAATCTGTAAAGAAAATACAAAATCAAGTAGAAAAGTTGAATAAAATGTACCTTAAAATATAAAGTCAAATAAAATGATAAATTTAAAATTAAAATCAAAAATATTTAATTAATTAACTAATTAATATATATATATATATATATATATATATATATATATATATTAGCAAGGTTGTGGATTGTGGTAGCAGAGCAGCAACAAGAGGCGGCGACAAAGCAGTAGGGTGGTAGTGGCAAAGCAGTAAGGTAGGAGCGGCAATCAGTGCTGAGATTGGTGGCTATTCAATGGCAGCTAGCAGTAAGCAACAATGACAAGGCATTATCAGCAACAAGATCGGCGACAGAGTCGGCAACAAGTAGCGGTGGCTATTTGGTAGAAGAGGTGGGGCACTGCAGGGAGGCTAGGCAAGGGGGCTGCATTATAGTAAGTATTCTAAGGAAGCAAAGTACAAAGTAGAGCAAGTGCTTTAAGCAAGTAGCTAGTTTGTGAGAGGCTAGCATGAAGTGTAGCAAGATCATGAATCAAATATGGAGCAAAATAAAATTGTGATAGTATGTAGAAGAGAGTCATGTTGATAACTTATTGAGAATGTTTAGAAAGATTCAAGAGTAGTAGTAAATAATACACACAAACACAAGAATAGTAATAAGTAATATATATATATATATATATATATATATATATATATATACACACATACAAGAATAGTAGTTAGTAATACATAAACACATAAGAGAGTTTTTAAGGAGAAAGAACTTTATACCCAAGTCTATTGATGTAGTTCTGTCATGTATACAAGAGGAGAAGGAGAGAAGATAAACGCTTTCTTTCTACTACATTCCAAATACTATAGCTTTAATATATACTATAGACTATAATAAATATTATGGAGAGTACCGGCTACATTTAAAGCTCTCAACACATTCAAAACATCTCTCTACTTAATAAGACACAAATCATATTTAATATCATCATCCTTTTTAATTCTATTTATCAAATTTAATTATAAGATAGTCATTTATTTATTTATCATAATTGATTAATTTAAAATGGTGTGATGTATCCAAATTAGACACATGTTCTACAAATTGGACATATATCATATGATATGTAAGATATTGTCATATAGATCTTTAGTAGATAATAAATATATAGGTTAAACTAAGGCCTTTCTCACTCTTATTAATGCCTTTCTTGTGGTCTATCTTGGTTCAAGACTTCCTAGTCCTTTTCCATTTTGCAATAGCCATTCTAATCTCAATTTTATATCCATTCCTTTAAAGGTTGTCCACATTCTATTTTTTGGTGATATAAGAATATATAGACATTTTTAGAATGTTGTTGTGGTTTGTATTATTGAAAAAACTTATAAAGTAAAAAAAAAAAAAAAAAAATCAAAATTTTTATTTTATTTAATTTAGAAAAATAATCAAGATATATTTTAAATAATAATTGATACTAAGTAGAATTAATAATACTTAAAAAAAATATTTTTTATTCACTATATTTAAAAATAAATAAAAGAACATAATTTATTTGAGATGAATAGATTACACATTAATAAAACTATGAATTAGTATTTTATTTGAAAAAATAAAAATATAATTATATCTAAAATTCTTTTAAAATTTTAAAATCAACAAATTATAATAATTTTAAGATAAATATAATGTAATATATATATATATATATATATATATATATATATATGTGTGTGTGTGTTGAAATATGAATAAAAATCATGACAAATAGTACAAAACATTTCACAAGTGTTGTTTTCTGTTTTTAATTAAATGAAACGACTTTGTAATATGTAAGAGTTTGTAAACAATATTATTACAACAAGATCTGATCATAAATATATATATAGATATAAAATTAAATAAATAAATTAGTGGATTACTAAAGTGTCTTAGATTGCTAGAAGTCCTATGAATCCTAATATGAGTTCAATAATATCATTGATTGTGTATTACTGTTTTTATGTTAAAAATAATTGTAGAAAACATTGAATACAAGTTGTAACAGGAGATTTAAAATAGAATAAAAATACATCATTATATAATTTTAAATAATAGTACATGATTTTTCTTTAAACTTGAAAAATTAGTTGGATTTGAAATATACTAAATCCAACTAATAAACAGGTTGGTTTTCAAAGAATAAAATTACAGAAACATATTCAAAAAGTATTATTCTCCAATACACAAGGAACTACACATCCCCCAGTTTTACTTACATGAAACTATTGCCAAAAAATGTTGCGCAGCTTTTTTCAACTGTCAGAGTCTCACTATTTGCTCAAATTGATGAGGTTCTGGCTCCACCTCTGAAGGCAGAAAACCTTCATATTTTGCTGCTAAACAACAATATAAACAAATCTAAGTGCAGGATCTACATAGTCGATCTGCATTTCAGGCCCAGCTTCCATGAAGATAACGAATGGTCATACAGGATGCAGACGTTGCCCATCACATTGCAGCGAGTGCTTCTGTTTGTGCAGATTGCGTGAAATAGAGAGTTCTGATGGCTTCAGTGATCGAGGAACCTGCATCTGCAAGCAAAGCTGAGAGAGATTGCGCCACAGCAGTGCAGGTTTATCATGATTTGATATCATCTTTCGAATGAGTTGATGAGCTTCACTGAAATATCGTGGCTTAAAATTCTTTTAGAACTGAGAGGGAAGGGAGATGTGGTGTGGAAAGAATATCCTTCAACTGTCAACGAAAGATGAGTTTTTTTAAGGAGTAGGCAGCTTCGGTGAATAAAAACTCATCCAGTTAGATTTTTGAAATGACCCAGCTGATTTTACTTGCAACAATCAAACCACACTCGATACCATCTCACAACAACAGTTCCACCTGGTTTGCAGCTTCAGAGATCCTCGACATTCCTTATTTTTTCCTTATACAACAGTTTATTTCTTTGGTTGTCAAACTAACTCATGCACGCAATTAAGAGAGCTTGACCCCAGGATCGGTAATAGCAGTACACGGCACTTTCTTTTCAATGCTACATCCTTAAGCAAAGACACAATGACCTCAAACACACATTCCCTTTGAAGAACTTACCGTAAGTCTAAGATCCACAACTCGTAACGTCGTAGTTTAATTTGCGTACGCATATTCTAAACAAGAAATATGACTTCAAAAATCCATGATACGATCTAACCCAGCTGCGCCACTTCATAAATTACTGAAAGTCCAACACTCAATCATGATACGGTAATGCATTACTTTGCAGTACCATAGATCCACGAATTTTTGCATGACTAATATTGCTATTATCCACCAGGATGCCAAAGATTCAAAGGTTTAACCGCAAATAAGAACATTCATGCCTCCTCATGATTGAGACGACCATAGCCATCACAGCTGAAATACACATCGGTAAAGAAGTAAGATGTACAAATTAGTATGGAATCATCTCCTAGAGTCGAACAATCCAAAGCGCCTGATCACTCTTTCGGCACAATCCACACCCTGCGAGCCGGGAGCCTCCGAGTTGTTGAGAATAGAAGCAGGAGAAAGGATCTTCCTTGGTAACAGCGCTCATTAGCTATACAACTTTGAAGCAACCACCCCATCAGACACCACATGACTAGATATCAAGCCCCTTCATCTGTGTCGATAATGCACGAAAGAAAAGGGACGGAGGAGAAGAAGCAGTGAAAGGACGCCCTGCTAAGTTGGTTTCTTCGTCGTTGCGCCAGACTCCTCGTTGCACCATGCCTCATGATTGGGCAATCAGAGTAATAGTCGTTGCAGGTGCGTTGAAACACATTTGATGTTAATACCCACTTGAGCGCGCTTCAACAACATGGTGTATGGGAAACATTAGGCAGCGTTGTTGTGATTATTTTCCTCGCTCTCGTGGTTTAACTCGTCCTCTGCAGCGTAATCGTAAACAAGAAGTGTGTCTGTGGTAGTCCTAGGGTGCTCGTCCACCTCCAGAGATGTCAAAGCAGCTAGGTCCTTCATCTCCTTCTCGCTGCTGGTGAGCCTCTCCACGGCAAGCTTGAAGTGGAAGACGCTCGTCTGCAGTCTCTTCAGCTGGAAGCTACGCTGGGATACCAAGTTTTGAGCACTCGCCAAGGATTCCTCCAGTTTGTGTGACTTGGATTTGAGAGCGGCTATGGTGACATCGGCCCTCTCCACCACGCCCTTGAGGTGGGCCACTTTCTCCTCCAGTCCTCGCCGGTGCTCTCTGGTTGCCTCGAGCTCTTCTTGTAAACGCCTGACTCCGCCCTCTCCCTTGGCAGTGGCGATCCGGGATCTCAGCTTGGAATTGGAATTTCCTCCCTTGTACACGGACTCCTTCCGTGTGCCGCCCTCGGAGCTCTGGGGTGAGACGGAGCTCCCTGCTCCTGCACGTTCTTCGGGCTCGGAGGTATTGTAACCTCCAGCGCTCGAATTTGGACTGGTCATTTTGAATTCGCTAGAATACAATGGTGGGTGCGAGCGACTACGTAGCAAAATTGGGGATCTAGTGCGGTGGCGCAGTCGCTCACGAAACGGCGGCGACTCTTGTCGCCGAGACCGCTCTCTTCTGTCCCGGAACTTAAAGGTGCGTTCGTAGAATCCTTTGTTCTTCCGTACCTGGTTGACGCGTATGCAGCGGCCTTCGATTTGCACTCCATCCCCATCGCTGATGGCCATGCTGGCCGATCTCTGGTTAGCAAATGTGACGAATCCGAAGCCGCGAGACTCCCCACTCATCTTATCATGCACAATCTTGACCGACAAAACCTCGCCGAACGTCATGAAATGTTTTCTCACTGTATCTTCGGTGCTTTCGTAAGAAAGCCCCCCAACATACACTGAATTTGCGTCGTCCATCTCTGCGGGAGGAAAATACCTCTCTCCGCGTTTTATTATCCCAAATTGCCGGTAGTCGTAACAATCAATTCACCCAAGAGGATGTCTGCATAATTCTTCAGAGCAAGATCAGCACATTATTCCAACAACCACAAATGCCCAAATTCATCGACCATATTCTAAGCACCACACCATTTTCTACTACAGAATAAAACTGGCAACCTTGCCTGGGGGGGGGGGGGGGGGGGGGGTCATTTGAGGTGGCAGATTCTTCAGCCATTGCAACCTAAAATTAGCCCTTCGAAGGAATACCGGCATCGACCCGTCTAGAGGCCCATGTCCTCGCCCTCCAAGCCAAAAATTCTACACTTGTACAGTGAACATCGATTGCCTAGAATGCTGAGACCCATTGTTTCCAGGGTTTTAATATTTATAAGTTATATTTGCATGAAGTCCGTTTCAGATACTTTAAGCATTTCTAGAGCCCTAAAAAGAACTGTAACATAACGAGCTCCAGATGAATGGTGGGCAGGTTTCTGACCTGTTCAGGATTTTGGTCTTCCGCCACTCCCTCGCCTTGCCATCAGATCGTCAAAAGAGACTCAATAAAGACTCATCGCGGAATAAGAATGATGCTTGTGATAGCTCAAAACCCACTATGCGCAACTGGCAACGCTCATCCTCTCCATACCCTCACTCTTTTGTATCACAGTGACAAAATCTCAGTCCCCAGCGCGGGTCTTCTGCACTGCAAGGCCACCTTAAAACAAAACCACACCTTACGGCGCACACCAAGGATACTGAAAAAGAGAAAAAAAATAAATATCACTCAAAACCAAAAGAACGCGTAAGCACAAACAAAACCTGCACATTCCACTACAAGCAGCGAATTTAATGCTACAAATGCTGAAGAGGTCACAGCTTACAACTCCACAAACTTCCTATTCTGCGCCACACCTACCAGGGCCAAGTAGTTCACGTTAACGACGATTTGCGGGCAATGAATTCTAGAACGGAACAGTCGTCACCTTCATCTCTGGTACCATGAAACGAGAGATATTCAAAACCAAGCAGAGGCTCACGCATAGTAAGTTTACTTGGTTTGGACAAGGAGGGGGTGGCACGAGGAGCGTAGACAGAGGTGAAGATAGAGACTTCGGCATCAACCAATAGTTATCATTATGGAGTGGATACCTGAGGCACAAAGAGAGATGAGCAAGCATGGTGGAGGAGTAACAGTTTGCACCCATATACATCTTCCGCACCCAACCAGCACCAGCACCCGCACGCACGGGTGCTCGCACAAGCTCCGGTTTGGCTATTCTTCGTCGTAATGATCCGCTGCTGGAGGACTAGATGCTAAGATCGCCTCCGCCTGTCTGTACCGGTGTCCCTCCACCGCAACCTTTCCCAGCCTATTCCATCAAGAAAAGAACACTTCGGAACTTCACCACTGCACTCCCGCTCATCGAGGAGAAAGCTCAGTCAAGTCTAGGGTGTTCACCGCTGGATTGGCAACCTCCTGTGTTCCACGGAGCAGAAAGATGTTGCTCATAAAACACCCTTACCGACAAAATGAAGGAACCTATTGCCGGGTACCTGACAACACCCGCCTCTGTTTGTGTTTGTTCCGCGTTTTCTGTACAGAGCGTCTTTGAACTTGCGTAGGTAGGGCCCGCTTAAGCCGCAAATCCTCTGTCCAATTCCCACAAGGGGGCTTCAGTAGGTCCAAAATATCCTGCACTCCGAATGGACCCCATTCTTCCATCCTCTGACCCATTCGCTTCGTGTGAACTGGTTACTGTCTGTACTGTCCTTCATCCCACGACTCTAACACTAAGGTCGACTACCCAAATCATTTTTTTATATATGTGCAGCAAAAAGAGACGTTGGGACTGGTTAGTCAAGACTGGCCAATGAAGTTCATCCATGCATCTGAAGGATGGATAGATTGGGTACAGGGGATCACGGCGAGGCAATTCCATTCACCAAGCGTTGACAAGTTTGCTCCCTAAAATGGTGCCAAACTTAGATTGATGGTGTTGTAGACTATACTAATGAAAGAGGATGGTAGAATTGCGGATTCTGACTAATCGGGTTATGCGTCGAAAGCACGGTATGAGAGCTTTCTGTGTTCGACATCATCACTATCCTGTGCAAAACATAGGTTCTCCCTTCCCCTATTCTAACAGGACTTTGATCAGGGCAGTGATGATTTCGATAAGGACCAAGATACATACATAAAAGTCCACTCTATATGTTGGCGATAAGATACAAGATTTAAACAAACAATCAGCTAAGTCTCATGTTCAGGATTTAATTTAATTTTTTTAAAACATATATATATATATATATAATAATAATCAAGCGGTCTGCAATATATCAGCAGTGCCAGAGCCACAATAACATCTTTCATGAGTCTAAATTTGGAATCCTCGAACATGTCCTTCCGCATCTTGAAACAAAAATCATATGCAAAGGTAGGTCTGAAAACTCGAACTACATGCTTTGCATAATTGGAAACAGACTGAAAGATTCTCCACGACCCTGCAGTGGCGAACTGTGCTACAGAAACATTAGACCAGGCTGAATTCAAAGTTTTGCTTTCAAGCATAGGATGCCATTCATGCAGTAAAGACTCGTTTATATTAAGTAGGGATAATTATCGAATCGCCGGATAGAAACACTCACCAGAATTTGAAAAAGGACTTTCATCAAAGATGTAAATGGTGAATCGCCAATACTGAGTTCATTAGCTTCTGAGGCATCGTATTCCCCTACGCTTACATCAAAATAAATCAAGAAGGATTACAGAGTGTTGTTCCATAGGTTTGCTGCCTCCCATAGTCGTGAATACACACGCCATGCATTTGATTAGCACAGCATTTTGGGTCAAAGAACAATATTGAACTGCATGAGAAGATTGAACAAATTAAAGAGTCGTTTACAAAGAACCTCACCTTTTCCACATCTCAGATAATGCTGGACAAAACAAACTTTGATCTACAATTGCCTCCAACTTGACATCAGAACTGCCCACCACAGCAGTGTTGAATAAGATCAGCTAAGAATCTTAAACCCAAAGAAAGCGTCTAAAATGAAAAGTAGAAAGATACATGAATAAATTAAAAATGTCACGTTCTCATGTCTACTAAACATGGTTGCAATGACACCACATAGCCTAGTAAAACTAGATGCTTAGTAATCCTTTGGTATCCAGTGAAAATTCATCCTGGTGTCCTATAATAATCAGAGAATATTAGTTGTGTTGAGAATGTTGAGAAAGACACAAGAGTAGTAGTAAGTAATACATACACACACAAGAGAGTTTCTAAGGAGAGAGAGCTTCATACATAAAAATCTATTGATCTGGTTGTATCTCGTATACAAGAGAAGAAAGGAGAGAGGATAAACATTTTTTCTCCACTACATTCTAAATACTATAGCTATAGTATTTACTATAGTCTATAGTAAATATTATGGAGAGTGTCGGCTATATTTAATGCTCTCAACACTTCTCTTCGCTCATCATAATATTTACATAATATAAAATTTATATAAAACTATAATCTATACTTTTCTATAATCTCACAAGATCAACAATTGTTGCCTCATTAAAACCTTATCTAGGAAAACCTTATTGTATTTAAGGGCAAAACCATAGATGAAGAAAAAATAGTACAACATCAATTTTTTTAATTATTTAAAGAGCTCATTAACTTTTTTATTTTGGAAAAGCAAGTCGCCTCATGCCAATGCCATAAGTAAGTCGATGATGGTTGCACAATTCGAGAGCTATGGTGAAGAGATCAGCAAGATTATTTGTAGATTCAATTTTTTTAATTATAAGAGCTTGATCAATGATCAAGTCATGGATATAACTAAAATACTTTGGATCAATATCCTTTATCAAATCACCTTTAATGAAATAAACTTGCATTTGTGCAATACAAGTACTATTGTCTTCATACAAGATAGTTGAAGAATCATCATATGAAAATCCATAAGTTATTTGAATGAATTTATTAACTAATCACAATCAAATATATTCTTTAGATGCTTCATGTAAGGCAATAATTTGTAAATGGTTGAATAAAGTTGCAGTTATTGCTTATTTCATTGATTTCCATGATATTACAACTTCATATCTTAAAAATACATATCATGTTTGAGGTTTAGTTGTTGCAGTATTAGATTTATATCTCGCATCATAATATCCAACGAATTTTGGATTTATAGATTGTGTATAGTATAATCCTAAGTCTTCAGTATCTTTTAAATAACATAATAAATATTTGATGCCATTCTAATGTCGTAGTATTGGACGTGCACTATGTCTTGCAAGAATACAAACTGCAAATGCATTTCTAGTCTTATGAATGTAGCCAAATATAAAAGTACTTCAACCGCTCTCGTATTGCAACACCACTATATGGTGAAAATATAAATGAAAAAGATTTATTAATATTTAGTCATCTTGGATATTAGAAACAGTGGCCAATTCTAGTGCCAATATTCAGGGGCCAGTTAATGTCACCCCATTGTAGTTGTACCACCAAACGTGACAAGAACGTATGTTCGACCGACATCATCGAACCAAGTACCCTCCGTACTAATGGGACGACTACGATCATTTTCTAACCCTGCATAGAACAAGCTTAGTAGATATATACCAATGGAGACACCCAATATGCCTGATTGGGGTGCAAGAAGTCCACTTCGTTGTTGCCATTGCAGACAGAATAGTGATTATACTAGTGAATGTTCTAATTCCAAGGCCATTATCAATTACGCACTAGTGTGTGGAAATAGCAAGCAGTCAGGACATACTTATCAGCAAGGTAATACTCCGTTCAATTTCAATAATCGAGATCAACAGATCCAAAGCCAGGAAAAAATTGAGGAGATAAATTGAGGTCCTCAAGATTCTCTTGTAAACTGGGTGAAATGAGTCTGAGCTATTCTTACTAGGAGTCGATAAAAAGAAAAAAGACCAATTCAATATTTGGGTAAATTTGATGTGAAGGATCAATTTGACCTAATTACGGGGACATCCAATCTAGGTCCTGTTATGGGCCTCTTATCTAGTATGAGACCTAACTCGGTTGAGCAACCCAATAAGGTCTCGAATATGAAGGCTTCGGTTCCATTTCAAGCTGTTCCGTTCTATATGCTGTTTTGGGAAAATATCATTTCCATAGAAAGATCCTGTTAGAGGCGAGAATTCTATGGAGGCAGGTCTGCTCTTCCAATTCGAAGTCCAGGGTGGAAGAATAGGGGACTTCACGGAGTTAAAGGAAAGGAGAGGAAAAAAAAAGAAGGCATTTGAAGATCGGGATTTTTAGGTCGAAGAGCTAGCTTTAAGTTCCTTCAAAAGGTGTAGAATTGGGTTTCATAGGATTTGGAAGGACTTTTGCGATCGTTGCTGAAAGTCAGTGTTTGTACTGGTGATTTGGATTTTTTTTTTACAATAAAGTTAAGGTTGGTACTCTTAACTGTTTTGTGAAATTGGAGAAACTTCTGCAGTTGAAATTTAGAGGTGTCTAAAGGATTGAGTATACCGAGTGCATGCAAAAGTTTGTATTAATCTGACGGAATAGATAGAGGATATTTGATCATTAGTATAAAGAGGTATCAAAAGTTAGCATATTGGAGTTGTTTAGGGTTTTGTAATATCTGAAGATCTACCAACTAGAATAAGGTGAATTTTGATGTCATAAGTCGAGGACTTAAAGGCAGAGCTGCACACAAAGTTGAATGAGAATTAAGGATTAGAGAAGAAAAAATTACAAGTTAAAGATTGTCATCAGCTTCTAAGTGGCAGTCAAGGGACATCAGTGTGGATTTGTGGCATTTCTTAAAATCTTTTGTATTTAGATGGTTGAAATCGACTAGACTACTTGGATACTCACAAAACATCATTTTATCTTCCACAACCAGACGTCTGGTGCATTCTCAAGCAAGACAGCACGTAATACAACAATGTGGTAATATCCTATAGGACCTCTAATATGTGTTGACTTTGTTAGCCACATGTCTTATCTTGTAAAGCAAGTTATCTATGTATGTGCCACGTAGTTGGCTTATTCCACAAGCTACTATACGGAGATAACTTGTTTCATAAGCTATCAATACATGGTTAGATTTTTGGCCAAGTATCTAACCTACAAACACATCTAAATTCAAAACCGCATCTATAAAGCTTCTAAGAAACTTTTTTAGAAGACTTTATAAAATTATTCTATATTTATCTACTTCTACTTAATTATATAAGTAACTATTGAGATAAATATATATGTCACTGATAGTGCATCATTGAAGCCATCAGGTATTTCATTTGCAAACTGTTTTAGATGTAAAATCTTAACAACTTCAATTTTAGCTAAAAAATATCCTAGGATCGAGATTTATTACAAATATTTTTAGTACTTCAAATACAAGTACTTTATTTCTTTGTTGATTGGATACTCCTCCTTGAAGAGATGGGAATACATTTACTTCAAAATGACAATTCTGTAAACGTGCACGTAATAAAGTACTAGTTGATGGATCAATAATACAAATAATGTTAGGTGAATCAAAACCAACATATATGCCTATCACGCACATATGCATGTAAGCTAGTAATTA